GCCCTGCCCAGAAAGCTGCAGGTATTGTTCCATGTCAAAGTACAGTCCGATCCGGTCAATGCAGGCAGCAGGTGACAGTATATCCGTACACCCAGCGGATTGCATAGACTAATCTGGTGCCTTCAAGGTCCCACAACTATCTAAAGCAACACTCCGAAATCAAGACATATCATGGCCATACAAACGCAAAGTATAAAGCTGCATGCGTTGCATTGAGTACATAAAATTGTCTACACAATTATTTCAATTAGTCGGTTAATGCAGTCCCACGTCAAGTTACAAGTTCAGTATCATCTGACTCAGTTTTCTCTGACACTGATGTATCAATTATGTATTCTCATGTAGATAACAGAGATTGTGAAGCAAACTCATATGGACTTTGAATATTTTTTCGAAATCATCATGATCACTAACTTGCATTACCATAAACTAAGAAAAATTTTACTTCTTTCATAAGAAACGTATCTAAGAATATATAAATATCTAATTTTCATAATAAACATCAACTTTTAGAATCCTTTGATTTAAATTGCCCATGGAGGGACAAGGAAGACAGGAAAGACCAGTTACAAGATGATGACATTAAACCCATAATTGTTTTAATGGAGTATTCAAGTAGGAAACCTACCTGGCAGGACATTTCGATCTATTGCTCTACAACAAAACAATACTGGGCTCTTTGGAACTCACTTCATATTTAAACAGCGTCTTGTGCCGGAAGTTCAAATCGGATGATAGGAAGCCATTCCGATGGCAGCTGATACTTCGAAGATTATCAATCTCAGACGTCCTTAAAGAACCACACAACAGTCCAACAGGAGGTAGCTTCGAAATAATAAAAATTTCGCAGAGACTTCAAGAACACTTCTACTAGAAGAATGCAAGGGTGACGTACAAAACTGATGCCAAATTTACGTTGATTGTGCGTGTCGGAAAAGACCGAACAAACGCAGCCGAAGGAAACTGCAACGTTACAATGTCAGAGCGCCTTTTGAACGCATAGTGTTTTGTATTCTGAGTCACGAAGTGCTGATGGCAATGAATACATCCTCGTTGTCACTGATTACTTCATAAAGTGGACGGAAGCATATTCTATTGCTGACTAAGAGGCTGTCACGGTAGCAGAGGTAATGACTTTTCAGTTACATTCCGATACAGAAAGGAATTTTATCTCGGTTATTAAAGAAATTTGCAAACGACTCCACATAGACAAAACCCAAACGACAACTTTACATTCACAGTCGTATGGCAGACTAGAGAGATTTCATCGAAACATCCATAATAACCTTTTGTTGATGTTTTCCAGAAACCGACTCGACTGGCACGCAAGTTACCTCTCTGGTTACTGGAATATCACAGTGCTGTCTATGTGACGACCGGATATTCCATATCCCAGATGTTCTTTGGTTGTGATTTTCAACTGCCTTGTGATTTCTTGTTTAGTCGTCCTTCGCATATGGCTTCTTCGCTTGAGGAGTATATCCAACATCTCCAGATACGTTTTTAAGTGATGCACTGTTTTGCACGAGGGGGAGTCGACTTGGAGACGAAGAAGATGAAGCCTCGATACGACACAAGAGCTACAAGACATCTCTTCAACGAAGATGACAATGTGTGGTTATGGAAACCAATTCAACGGAGAAGACTTTTTTCTAAATTACAGTCACCCTGGGAAAGTCCTTACACAGTCATAAACAGGCTTAATGACGTAGTAGTTCGGACGCGTAAGTCATCAAATCCTAAACCTAAAGTCGTTCCTTACGACAGTCTAGCCCAGCGGTTCTCAACCATTTGACTAAGGATTACCATCTAAAGAAAAATTGAAAAACTTCAGTACCACCACTACATTTTACAATCATTATTTTTCAATTTCTGAATAGAAATATTAAAAACAAAATTTTGCCCTTTCTATAACTTATTGGTTATTTATTACTTATGGACACATTAAAACAACATTAGACTAACTAAAAATTGTTTACCATTTTAAATGTCAAAATTAATAAGATTTAGAATTAAGATATAATAATTTAATTCTAAAATTTAGTGTAGAATTTCGACCTGTTTAAGAGAGATAGGTTTACTTATGTCTGGTCTTATTTCACTTAGTTTTAACCATAAATCCGGATCCACTTTAATTTTGTTCAGTATTTATTTTTCAAATATTTCAGTATATCAATATTTTTAAACAGGATGTTGGGAACAAGGAAGAAAATCCTTGTGCAGATAAATAAGTTGTGCGAAAAGGTAATAAACAGTTAGTAGCTTTATTTGAAATGACATTAAAATCTTTTTTTTTTTTTTTTTTTTTTTTTTTGTTCAGTCAAAAGTTAACAAGTGGGTTATTTTTTAAAGCTTCAGTTAGAGTTCGATCGCGGAAATTTCTATCAATTGTTCTTTTTCTTCACGAGACAAAATCCCATTAACATTTGAACAGAATAGATTTCTAATCCAATTTTCTTTTTCATAATCCTCGGGAAAATACATATTGAAATTATTTATAAATGAAAAACAATGATTTTTTAATGTCGGATGCTAATTCTTCTTTTATTTTCAAATTATTTTCGATTGGAAAACATTCTGAAAGTGGTAAAAAGCTTAAAATAGTATTATCTAATTCTTTTATTATTAGCTTGAGTTCTTTCTATCATTGCCTTTATTTTCTCTCTAATGGTAAACAAATTAAAACTTTGCCCTTGTAATCCTAAATTTAATTCATTTAACTTTCCAAAAATATCAGCTAATTATGCTAAATGCGCCAACCATAGTTCACTGAATAAATATTTTCTTGACATAGAATCATAAATATTCTTGAATTTAAAGCTCGGCATTTAATAAAATTAATAATTTTCACAGCTTGATTCAAAACGATTTTCGAGTTTTGGGAGATTGTTTTGGCTACTAAAGCTTCATGATGATTGGAGCAGTGAGTAAATTTAGTTTCAGGTGCGACTTTCTTTATTTGAGAAGTAACACCGGAATTTTTTCCTGCTAAAGCCCGAACTCCAGAAGTTGGTGCACCAACTGACTTTATTCTCGATTCTACTAACAATTTCAAATTTAAACAAAGGGCGGCCTAATGAGGCATTGCGTCACACAATTTTGTCCAGGAGCTGTTATTGTTAATTCTACAACTATTTGTTAATTCTAGTACTAACTAAATTGTTGATAATTCTACAACTACTGTATGCGGATTAAATAAAGGCAAAAAATCTTAACGAGGAGCATAATTAACAAATGCACATCAGTATCGCCACGGAGGAAGGGGTTTTAAAAATACATCAATGAGCTTCTATTGCTCTTGTGACTCTGTATCTTTGAAACTGTGTATATGAGCGAATGTTGTCGTTTACGTTTTATTTTGCATTTGTTTCGTAGCCATAAAGGTACGGTGGTATAAATGCTGCTACTATTAAGTAGAAAATCTCGTAGCGTATTCGTTTTGTAAGTTTACTTAATTGTTAATATTTTACTTTTGCGTAACTTATCACACACTGCTACTCAGATTCATGTTCGTGGCATATTATAGCTCTTTATATCGAGAAAATGAATCAGCCTACAGTTAGCCTCGAATATTATACATTTAGCAGTACCTGTGGATTAAGAGAATTAAATAAGTATTTTTTATTTAGCTGAGAATAACTCCAAGTGTTACAATGAATCTAGTACTTTCTTATTTCAATGTTTGCATGCCTTCGATTTTGAAAGTGTAGGATTCGAAATATATATTGTGAATGATATGACTATGCCTACTGTTAACATTAAAAGTTATATATGAAGAAATTAAATGTACTCATTGTGAATAAGATAAATTCATTCTGTTTGAAGAATATTTCTTGTGCAGGCAATGCATTTAAGAGTGAATAGTCATTAATGTGAAATTTAACACAACTAAATGTCTAGGAATGCAAATTTGGAAAATTCACTTTGAATAAAACTGTGCATTAGCTATTATTATAGAATATATTTTCATATAGACTGGAATAAAAAATACTAGGATTACTACTTTTTACATATATATAATTATGGTTATATTTGATATAACGTCGCACTGAAAATTTTTACCAGAAATCCATGATGCTTTAATGATTTTCTACAGGAAATTGCATGGCAAAACATTTTCAACCATCTTGCTTAACCGCGGCAAAGGTCATGTGAAATGACAAAAACATTACTGGAAGGTCATTGGTCTACTCTTAGAAACCATTTCCGCGGTGGCGATACAGATGTCCACTTACGAAATATGCTAACGGAATATACGGAAAGAATAATTCAGTCACTTTTAAAGCAAAAAACTTTCAATTTGCCAACATATAAGAATAAGAAAACAGAGCTCACCAAGCCGGGTAAGAGAGTGGATATATATATATGTTTGGTTCAGCCGAATGCAACAGAAAAGGGAGGGGCAGAATTAAATGTTGTTGTAATCCCATATACAATATTTCAACATTGCACTGCTAATTATTTTGGAGTTATGTACATACCTACACGTACGTACAGACATCACCGAATAAATCCCTTCTGAATCCATTTTAACATCTGCTTTGGGAAAAATTGCTACGTACGTACAAATGTCACACACACACACACACACACACACACACACAAAAAAAAAAAAAAAAAAAAACAAGGATCAGGTGGATTTGAAAGCGTCAAAACGGACATTTTCGTTGAAATTGTGACACCCAAAATTTTTCACAATAACAATACTTCCTTTACTTCGGACAAGGAAGTAAAATTTGATCCCAGCTTTCTCTTTCTTGTCTTATATTTTCGATTTTCAGAGAAACGAGGTCCTTGCATAAAAAGGAAAAGTATTATGAATTTTTAATGAACTCTTTTATATTTTTAAAAAATGGATGTTTGTGTCCTATTTTCCGAGTGAAACTGCTTAAAGTATAGTTATTAGATGTGGTATTTATATTTCTTGCTTTCTTTTCTTTTGGTACATTAATTTTAAATCAAACAATTGATATACAATTATGTGCGCCTTGTTAACTTACCTATTATAAGTATCTTCAGATGAAAAAAGTGTTTCATGTTTAACTCGCTTGATGGTATTCAAAAGAAGAGAAACCACCTAAACCAAAAGAAATTGAGCACATTAATCCACAGCAAGTAAATAAATAACGTTAGAAACATTGAATAAATAAACATATAAAATACATAATTTATTAATGTAGTGAAGAGGAAGAGACCAGTTTTAAAAAGGAAGGCAGAATTTCCGAACTTCCAAATTAACCGGAGTAACATCCTCGATTAATCCAAAATTTCGGTTAATACTTATAGCTGTTAAGAAATGCACAGTAAAGATGAATAATCCATATCATAATTAAAAGAAAAGTATTCTCAATAATTTACTTGTGCTTTTAATCTTTTGATGGCCATGAATGGGCTCAGCTCGCATTTCATCTACGCACTGCAGTGGGCGCAAATGAACATAGTTCCCAATATTAATTTACGATTGACAAATATTGTGCTCATCTAAGAAGAAAGAATTGCTTATCCTCACCTCCGCCAAAGGGTCAAACAGTTAAATTTTGAGAAGTTCGTAGAAAGGTTAGGCTTTCGAAACAAGCTAAACGGAAAATCAGCAGCGCCTTCGCCGGGATTCGAACACCGAATCTCCCTACTGCTAGCAAGTGCTTGCAACTACACCACGATGGTACGAGAAAAGGGAGGAGAAAATTCCTTACATTATTCCCGAATTTAAGGACAGCTGGAGAGTCGCTAAATCCAAGTGGTGACGAATTACTGTCCACCACATTTTAGTTCAGGCACCATTTCGAGAATCATTAGGAATTTTATTGGGTATCCGTTTTAGGCATTTTACTTCGAAGCAGGTACCAAAAAATATTCAGTGCATTCCGCTGGGATTCGAACTTCGGGAATCCCGATGCCAACCGGGCTTGCTACCAATTTTATGATGAAGGCATGAGGTAAAGAGGAAGAAAATACATTGCGTTATCCTCTACTTAAAGGACGAATGAGGAAGAGGGCACCCAGTTATAAAGAGTCCTCTTTATTAAAATTAATTTACTCTAATTTCACTAATTTCGCTAACAGATGAATTTCATCAGCTCTCTTTTACATCCGTAATTTGATATAGCCATTCCCTAGCAAACGCTCACATTCCTGATTGAACTTTTTCAGTTCTCCCCCAAGTCGAGGATATGATGCATTTCAGATTAAAAAGTAGAGAAAAATATTCCTTAAGATCTGTGCTTATTGCTTTTGAATCGCTTAGTTTATTATTCAGTAACATTCCAGATTAAATCTGAAAGTATCTTAAGTTTTACTGAATGGCAACAGCCTGGCGCTTGGAAGATAAAAGTACTTTATTTCCGACCTCTGCGACGCATTGCTTTCATGCACCTGAATTTGTTACTTTAAACTGAAAAATAACTAACTATCTTGCATATTTCCGAAGAGCAAGAATCTAGCGCAGGGGGAAATCAAAATGTTTTATTTCGAATTTTGCCGCTGCTCGCTTTTAAATCGTTGAGTTTTTCAATCAAAAATTCGTTAAAGTTTTATAAAATACGAAATAAACAATAAAACAAATTCGAAAATCAAAATTTTGGTTTCTAGGTGCACACGATCGGGTAAAGGACTACGTTATTCAAAATTTGAGGCTCTGGAGTACCGCGGTTTTTCACAATCTGAGAAACATACATGCATTCAGGTTCTTCATCATCTGTCTTCCTTAAAAATAATACAGGGCGATAGTATTTGGTGGCAATTTGAAAAGTGATAATCTTTTTATAGTGAACCAACACAAAATCCAATTTCGAAATTAATAGCCCCTTTTGGGTTAAAAAAAATCTAGACCGTCAGTTGTTTTCAGATCCTGCATCCGGCCCGTCGGCAATATGAGTTTCAGAATTACCGCTGTAAATAGCACATTAACATTACTCGTAATAACTGAGATAATAAAAAATCTGAGATCTGGCTCCCTAAGACCTGAATACAAAGTAATTTTTAGAAGTTTTTAATATTTGCTTTACTCTTTCATGAGTTATTCGTTTTATTTTCTCTCCGATAGCTAATCTGATTAAATTTGCATCTGGGCCGAACACCTGTGCGTGTGGGAACCGATTCTCCCACTTTTTGGGAGCTTCCGTTTGCGCCCTGCAGCAAAGACTTCGACGGGTCGAAATTCTACGATTATTTAGTGCCCTCCGATGGCAGCGGTTCTTTGCCTATTATTTACGTCACGTTCTAGAACTGTCATTACGTAAGTAGGACTCCCTCTTTGCGATATTGCTCTTCAAAAATAAAGTGATCGTGACCTTCCTGCTGTTTTAGAGCAACATATTGTTTTCTTTCTTCCTTTTCTTTTTCTTTTTTGTGTGTGTGCGTGTGTTACATATAATACTGCACCTGTACAATAGCAAGACTGCCCCAGACCATGAAAATGTTACTTTTGGGCGTTTGATTGTTTAACAGCCAATTAAAAAAGAGAGGGAAATAAAATAGTAATTAAAAAGTCCGCCTTCTAGCTTGATAAAGACTTTTAGTTTCAGTAACTTGCCACTGTCCTCCATTTCTATATAATGGGCCATAGGTAAAGTTCTGCGTTTTTTTCATCTATATAAATCAAGAGAGTCTAACTGCTCGTCTCGCATACAAATCTACAGTTGCATTCCCATCTTGTTGAAATTTGGTATCTTTTTTTTGGGGGGGGGGAATTTCGATTTCGATCAATTTCGATAGAATTTCTCTTTCAGTCAGTATATTTGGTAGTTTCGATCTTCAAAGTAAGAGGCATTGTCTATATAAGATTTTTCAGAAGCCACTCCACGTGGTCAGCACTCTTTGTTTATATATATTTTACACTAATTTAACGAACTTTTGAAAAAAAAAAAAAAAACTCGACGATTAAGCATGCCACTCTCCAAAGCATAAGATATTTATTTACATTTCAAATTTAATCGGAAGACTCTGCAATAGAAAATAACCATATTGCCACTGAGCAAAACGCAATATATTTGTCTTTCGAATTAAATACATAAACTCAACAATTTAAAAGAAATTTGTTGCCACTGAGCAAATTAAAGTAGGTTTAACTGCGTTGTCTTTCAGTAAAGCGTAAAATATCTAATTTTTCTTTCAAATGCATTCAATCATTTATTAATAAACAAAGGGGTTCAAAAGCAGTAAATGCAGGTTCATTTTGGTTACTATTAATTACTACCTGCAAGCGGAAAATTACACTAGCTGGTTTCATTAAAATCACCCATATATATATAAATACAAAGAAGAATGTCCAATTTTTGCTTGTATGCGTATAATTCATACAAACCTGCAGTTTTATTTCAATTTTGATTAAATTCGGCCTACTTTACCTTCAAAACAAGAGGAAGGTCACTGCCTACATAGGGTTTCGAAGTATTTATATTAGAAGCGTGCACTCACGGCACCCACCTTGCGTATACAGTACTCATCTTAGGTTCACGTCGTCGTTGTTGCATACCCGCTATCAGTGGAAGTCATACATGCTAAGCATGGAATTCTTAGTTGCTTTTTACAAAAAAAAAAAAAAAAAAAAAAACTATTAATATTTTTACATAATTTAATTTTCAAATCATGTCTCCCATTATAGGCTTATGTTGTCTATATGAGTTCACTGAGTTCTTACTAAAACCATTAAATCGCGTCATATTCGCTTACTCTTGAGAAGCGTGAAGAACCTTTAAAGTAGAATTTATATGCTCTGTCTATCAGGATTTCGGGAATATTTCAAAAACCGGATTTCGAAAAAGTACCTCTATTCCGCTAAATGAAGTCTCTATACTCTGCGCAAAGTCAGAACAATGTCAGGCATTTCATTTAGTGCTAAATACAAACAAAGCTCAGCAAAAAAAAAAAAAAAAAAAACATAAGGCAATTTTATTGAATTTTATAAGCAACATTTTATTCTATGATTTTTTGACATCTCTGTGGCAGAAGGAAAATTCCTTTTTTAAAGAAGTTATTAGATTTATTCGTAAAGAAGCTATCGAAGTGCTGTTTGAAAGTCTTCAATGAATTCCAGACCTTTCAGAAAATTTTGAATTGACCTGGGGAGATGCAAAATTCGAGGTAGCAAGATCCTGTGAATATGGGAGGTGACATAAAACATCATAGTCATACTCAATAATTCTGACATTCATCGAAATGTGGAGCCGAGTATTGTCATGATAGAAGGCGACACCTCGGCGACTGATCAGTTCTGAGCGCTTTGCTTCGCTTTCTGCTTTTAAAACTGCTAACTGGGAACAAGTTGATTTTCGATTTTACATCTGATTTGGTAGCAGCATTTCATCGTATTGCTTGTAGTCCTACCATACACAAAGAATTACGCTTTGAAAAAAAAAAAAAAAAAAAAAAAAAAAAATATGATGGAGCTCCCTCTCAATGTTAATAAGGGTTTTTTGTTTTGTTTTGTTTTTTGTTTATTCCATGCTGTTTTCTTGGAGGGGGACAACATAATTGTATCTTATATACTTCTTATTCAGTAATGAGCCGCTTCAGAACAAGAGCTTATTTATTTCTTTTCAGCAAAGAATCACATGCTGAATCTCAAATATATTCTGTTCTGTTAAAATATGTGGTGCCACAACGCCGTAGCAGCTTACATACCCAGTCTTCTACAAATGACCATATATTGTACTTTTTGGAATATTTAGTCTGTCAAATAATTCCTGAACAGTGTAACATAGATTTTCAGCGGTAGTTTAAGTTCTTGTTTACGAAGCATGGTCGTCTAGAGCAGCAGTTCTCAAATCCTTTTCTCCGCGGACCCTAATCGGGTTGAAAAAGTTTTGCTGAGCAGTTACCCATAAAGCGATTTAAATAGGAGAAAAAAGAAGAAAAAACAGTTAATTTTTACCTCTCATTTGTCTTTAATGCTATGACAAACTATTTCGATGAATTTTTCATTATTTCTTTATGTTTATATGAAGTTCAGTTAATTTTACCTTTAAATCATTCGAGCCAGAAAGTTTGCTCCTGCATATGTTTTCGCATGCATTTTATGCTTTTTTTTGTTTTTATGTTTTATGTAAGCATACGTTGAACATTCAGACTCGCAGACAT